AAGTCAGCAGTGACTTAATTGTACAGATTGATTTTAGAGCAGGGGCATGCAAACTACGGGCCACATCCAGCCCATCAGACCATTTAATCCGGTCCTCAGCTCCAGCCGGGGAGCGGGGTCGGGGGCTTGCCCCACTCCATGCGGCTCCCAGGAAGCAGCCGGCATGACTCTCCTCTGGCTCCTACGTAGTATGCGGAGGCCCAGCCAGCCGGCTCTGCGCGCCACCCCGTGTGCAGACACCACCCCCGGAGCTCCCATTGGCTGTGGTTCCCGGCCAATGGGAGCTGCAGGGGCGGCGCCTGCGGACAGGGCGGCGCGCAGAGCCACCTGGCTGCGCCTCGGAGACAGAGGGGGGACATGCTTCCAGGAACTGCTTGCGGTAAGCGCCACCCTGAGCCTCGTCCCGTGACCCAATCCCCTGCCACAGCCCCGATCTCCCTCCTGCCCTCCAAACCCCTCAATCCCAGCCCAGAGGATCCTCCTGCACCCCAAACCCCTCATTCCTGGCCCCACCCCAGAGCCCACGCCCTCAGCCGGAGCCCTTCCCCCCTCCCGCACTCCTACCCCTAATTTCATGAGAATTCATGGCCCGCCATACAATTTCCATACTCCAATGTGGCCCTTAATCCAAAAAGTTTGCCCACCCCTTTTCTAGAGTTACCATGCTGCTGGAGGTACGATCTTAAGATAAGTTGTCAAACTGAGAACCTGACCAGCCTGACTGCTCATGGTCATTAAATATCCCATAGCACCTCTCATAAGAGACAGAACAATAAATCCAACATCGTGGCCAAACTTCATTTTAGGAAATTATACTCTTTCCCCCAAATTTTCCATACAGTTTCTATTGGATACAGGATTCTTCTTCACTTCCCATCCTAAACTGTTATTTAGTGTGGCTGTGTACTCTTAAACAATTGCTGTGTTTCACCCCAGAGGCAGCTGTGTTAAGCAGTGCATGATCCTTGTGTATATATAAATTCAAAACTTGCATTACTTATGGAGATAATTTAGGAGTCACTAATGCAAGCTTGAGGGTAATATGAAAGTTATATTTAAAAAAAACCCTCTCAAAAGTTAGGAAATGAAAAAGTTAAGATACTTAACCTGTGTATGCAGTGTACATATAATCCAAATCTACCCTGGCATGAGTCCCCCAATGAAGGCAGGGGTGTTGGGCTTGCATTTATAACACTATTGTATATTAACCTTATATTTAACTACATACATAATAATCCAGAATGCTCCATCTATGCAACATAAACAAATTAAAAGTCCTGTGAAAACTGTAACTTTTGCATTTGCTGAATTTCGGATGTTTCAAATTTGAATCTTAAAGTAGCATAACATTGAAAAAGAGAGAGAGAATTTTTTAAGCTCTGTTTTTATTTTACTTCATAATTCCAGGGTTGCATAGTTAAAATCTTACACAAATATTCATTTCCATAATGAAATAGCAGCATGAAATCACAGCTCCATATTAGTTTTGTTATTCTATAGTCCTGTACATATTAACATGACTGAGGTTTTGTAATGCACACTTACAAAATGGAATATTTAGTTGCTATTTATTTTGTTTCTTTTCTCCCAAGTTGGCCTTGAGTCTAGTCCTTAATGAGGCCAGACTATGTGGAAAGTTGCATGCTATTGAAGTTCTGCTGTTTTTAAGTTATATAGACACTAAGAACATTTTTTGTTTGTTTGCTTGGTTTTTTTACACTGGGAAAATTTATAGTTATTTCACCCTTGTATAATTCCAAAAAAGGGTGGATGGATTCTGCTCAAGCTTTAAAAAAAATCTTTGGGATGAGACCAGTTTCAGTCTTCAGCCTGAGAGGAGATATTTTCAATAAGATATGTGCAGCTGAAAATGGGCTTGCAATGGAAGGCTTGATGCAACGCTACCTGTCAAGATTGCTGTATTACTCTAGCTCAGGGGAGGGCAATCTATGGCCCACGGGCCGGATCCCGCCTGTCAGCGCTTTCAGTCCGGCCCGCGGGATTGCCAGCCCCGTGGTGCAGCGGGGCTAAGGCAGACTCCCTGCCTGCCTTGGCCCCGCATTGCTCCCGGAAGCGGCCAGCACCATGTCCCTGCGGCTCCTGAGGGAGCGGGCGGGGCAAAGGGCTCCATACGCTAACCTCAGCTGCAGGCACCGCCCCCCCGCTGCTCCCATTGGCCGAGAACGGGGAACCAGGGGTGGTACCCGCAGGCAAGGGAAGCACGCGGTGGAGCCCCACCCCACCCCCAGGAACCACTGCCGGACATGCTGGTCACTTCCGGGAGTGGAGCCTGCCTTAGTCCTGCTGTGTGCCGCTACCACCCCAGAGCCGCTCGAGATAAGTGGCACCGGGCCAGAGCTTGCACCCCAACCCCCTGACCTGAGCCCCCTAACCTCCTGCCTTGAGCCCCCTGCTGCACCCCTACTGCACCCCTGCCTGAGCCCCCTGCCACACCCCTCCTGTACCCTAACCCTCTGCCTTGAGCCCCCTACTTCACCCCACCTCCCTGCCCTGAGCCCCCTCCCACACTCCATACCCCCTCCTTCACCCCCTGCTCTGAGCCCCCTCCTGCACCCTGCACCCCAACCCCTTGCCCTGAGCCCCTTCCTGCACCCCGCACCCCCTCCTGCACCCCGCACTCCCTCCCGCACCCCAACCCCATGCCCCAGCCCTACATTCATGTCCCTGCATACAATTTCCCCACCCAGATGTGCCCCTCAGGCCAAAAAGTCTGCCCACTCCTGCTCTAGCTCATCACTATTGTATCTGATGGAATGGCTGATGCTGGGAAGATAAGTAAGTTGCAGTTGGGCCTTTCCTTTCCTCATTCCCTCCACTCCAGAAGCAGAATAATGTTTCCACCAGCTACAGATAGGGTGGTGGCATAGTTTCACTTGTGTGTGTGTGTGTGTGCTGGCTGTGTGATTAGAGAGGTGTTGTCTGAGTGCTGGGTGTTTGAGACAGCGTTGGTTGTTGTCTTTGAGTGCTAGATAATGTCTGATTGTTTGGGTGCATGGGTGTTTGAGCCCTGAATATTCTATGTAGTGAGTGAGTGTGTGTATGAAAATGCAAGCCCTGAGTGTGTGTATGTGAAAGCCCTGGGTTGTGTGTGTGTTGGGAGTGAAGGCTGAGTGTAGAACCTTGTGTGCTTTTGTGTTGTGAGAACACTGTGGCGTGTGAGTGCAGGGTGTTGTGTGAAAGAAGCTGGGAATTGTGTCTGTGTACAAAGGTGCTGGGTGCATGCATGTCTGGATCTATGCGTGCACACTGTGTCGTCTTGGAGTATCTATATTTAGAAAGGATATCTACTGGGTACACTCAGTCAGATGGGTGTCTCCGTGCCTCAGCTGATCCAGTCAGATGCACTTAGTAGGAGGCGCCACCTGATGGTTTTTCCTGAGAGGGGGGTGTGTGTGTGTGTGTGTGTGTGTGTGTGTGTGTGTGTGTGTGTGTGTG